CTGCCGTTGAGTGTGTCAGTGTGTAAAGCATTGCTGACGTACTCGACTTTCAAACGAAATCGCCAAGGAGTTGAGCTCGTACCACAGCAGTTCAACTCGTACGCGACCATCAGTGGTGTTCTGAGTGCAATCAAGTATTTGTACACCGAGCGATCACAACCATTAGAAAACGACTAGGTGGTAATGATGGCAGGTAGTATAAATTGCATATTGTCTTTCAACTTTCACATCACTCACATTTTGAATGAGTAGAGTTTAGCGCTGGCTACAAGCGCAAAGTTGCCCAACCGCGCTCAAAAGGCGAGATACGCATTACAGAGGGAAAGACACCGATATCTGTGTCAGGGTCATGAATATTGTATTGACTATACTACACGATGATTATGACACTTGATGCATAGCTTGGCAATACTTCTGTTCACCCGTCCACCCCAAAACGTTGGACTGACGACGTTGTTGTTCGGCGCAAGTGCTAAAGAACGGTTTTCGACGTGGCTGGCATCTACCTGCAATAACTCCCCCGAAGACATCCTGGTGTTGAGTTTGTCTATCTCTGAGCTGGGCAGCCATTCATTCCGAAAGGGGGTCGCAACAGACCTTGCAACTAACACTGGTGGACCTCAGGCCATTTCTATTTGGCTTCGTGCAGGTTGGAGTTTGGGGAACGTGCAGGGCCGGTATATTTTTCAGGGGGCGGGAGGAGAATTTGTTGGATGTGCAGCATCCGGTGCTTTTTTGCAGTGGAATTAGAGATTAACAGTGTAACTTGTTGTGTATGATTAAATGTTAACGACGCCTCTTTTGCAACCCTTCCACCTCACTTTCATGGGGCTGCATTGACGTCGGTCCAATGGGATTCCATATTACCGGGGTTCACCACATACTACCCTGCAACTTTTTGATGCGCAGTCCATTCTTGTTGGCATCATTGGCCTGTCACTTTGATTGGATCAAGTCAACGTTGGTACCAAATCTTCCGTTGTTCTTGTCCCATGTGTGGACAAGTGGAATTTTGCCTCAACTCTCCGAGCAAGTTCTCTCAGGTGTGCTCGAAAACCCAACGTCACACTTCATGGCCACTGGTATTCCCCCCATATCCCTCTTTTCATTCAAACACCATTGCTGAAATCTGTCGTGGAAAATTTGCAAAATTCCATACTAAATAAGTTGGAAATCATCCCCGAGCAAGTCAGCAAGAAAATTCAAAATCATCTCCAAGCATCGCGTGCAGAACCAATTACAATGGATATATCAAACACAACCTTGGAAGCCTTTGGCAAGTCTATGCTGAGCAAATAGACCAAATGACTGCATCAAGTACACAAAATGTATTCAACGAGGCTGACACCCCTGCAACAAATGCTCCTCCAACAACAACGAATGCCTGGTGGACCTCGCAACGCGACGTTCCGTTTGCCAAGTTGGCTTGCCCGAAAGGGAAAGTATATGACATGTTGAACCTATGGTGAGACGGCTGTCAGATGGACGGCATTGTGCCGTATCGAATTTGTACCTCGAAAGACTTTGCGACCAGAACAGACCAAGCGAATTTCTGCAAGGCCAAGAGAGTTATCCTAGCCTTTCTTGGACAGTCAAATAATTCTGTGCATGACGTTATGGCGATGGACATACCTGCTCGAAACGGGCTTTTTCAAGAATGCCTTGTCCGCGTGTGCCAACGCCACTTAAACATGTCGGAACAAGTCTCTATTTTTCTATGTGCTGTAGCTCGTCCTCGTTACGACTCTGCTACCGAAACTTGGTGGGACGGCAAGATCGGCATTTGGCCGTTCGTAGCGCCTGTCAAAGCACAGCGTACCAGCGCCAATGGCGTGGCCGGGACTATTGAAACCAAGACAAAGACTGTGACAAAGGGCATCTATCGTACCTTCTTGGTCGAGAATGTACTGTCTGCAATCGTTTCCAAGTGGCCAAGCGACCGTCGTGTCGTGAAGTTGCAACACGAAAATGCCCTTGCCCATGTGCCCCCGTCCGACGCGCTGCTAAACGAAGCCATGGCCAAGTACAAGGCTCTTGGATGGTCGATATCGCTTGCACCACAACCATCAAATCCCTCCGACACCAACGTTTTGGACTTGGGTTTCTTCGCAGCCATCCAGTCCCTACAACACCGCAAGTCAGCACGCAGCATTGACGAACTGGTTGCTCATGTTGAAGACGCTTACTCCGCATACCCGTACGAGAGGCTGAACCACACGCTCCTGTCCTTGCAAGCGTGCCTGGCTAGACGATGAAGGTTTTCGGGGACAATGCCTACAAGTTGCCTTACATTGCCAAAGCAAAGCAAGAGCGCAAGGGTCAGTTAACTCAGAATGTGTCGTGTGCACGGGATGTTTTCGACGCCGCGAAGTCAAGGTTGACCGGAATGGCATCCGCCGAGTTGGATCGTGTGCTCGCAGCCGAGCTCAAGGAGGCCCGCTGTGTCGAAGAACTGTCCCAGGCACTGGAAGCCATTGCGATGTGTGATGGTGAGTCGAGTGATGTCATTGATGTCATGAGAGAAGTTGGAATCGTACCAATTAGTGTAGAGGATGAGGATAAGCGTGTGCAGGTGTGTGTTGGTATTGTGGATGGTCCTTGTTCTCGTTTGGAGGGTTCTGGTGGTAAACCCCCTTCCTGAATGGATTGGTGAGGTCGGATTTCAGCAATTCCGCCTGTTGATTGGCTGTGAGACACGCGATTTGCATGCTTTGATTGGGCAAACGTAACTGTATAACTTCATAAATTGGTATCGATATTGGAGTTTTGTACTAGTATTTTTATTCGAGGAGGCATAAGTCAAAATTCTGATTCGCGCACTTATTTTGGAACGGGCGGAGTATTCTCTGCTCGACAAAAAATATTCATACGATTTAACTTGTCACGGTATCAAATTGATTATACAACTTTTTGCCTTCAAGTTGTGCCAATCGGAAGTTCAAGTTCTGCAAGCCTTGAAACTTTATCCTGAATCAGACATAGAATGTGAACAGGAAAAAGGCAGTCCAAGTGACTTGCCAAAGGCAATGCAGCCCGTGACGTCGACAGACACAGCGTGCGCAAGAACATCCTTGCAGCAGCCACAGCCCATGAGGACTGGAAGCTCCTGGCCCATTTGTGGCAACGCAGTTTGGTGCACCAACCTTGCTCCGGCTCGGTCCCTGCAGTCCCATGCTGAATCCCATCGATAACGTCTTCTCTGCGTTTAAGTCGGATGTCAAGCGATGTCTTCGCCAGCGGCGCCAGGAGCTCCTCACTATTCACCCCAACACCACCATCAAAGCCCACCGCGGCCGCATTCTTAAGGAAGCGTCGCAAGAAGCTCTCCAAGTTGTCACACCAAGCCTGTGTGCTCAGTGCTTCTTGCACACTCGGAAGTTTTAGGAAGCTGTGATCAACTTGGAGGACATGCAGGTCGGTACTTAATACCGTTTAAACGAATATAATGAATTTCAGAGATGATTTTTCTATGTGCTGCACAACTTGAACTTCCGATTGTCATAACTTGAAGGTAAAAAGTTTAGTTGCAGGATATCATTTTTCAATCAGTATTCAAATCTGATCGTGGCATCTCTTGGTGTAACAAAGACCAACGATTACGCGCTCAAAATCGACATCAAATTTCGACCATCCCATCTGCGGCTCCTTCTTCAATGGCAAAGTTGGGATATGGTCGTTTGTTCATCATCTCGTTCCTGCTGTCCGCAACTCACGCCACCGTTCAAACGGGCCACGTTTGTCATTGTCGATGGTAACGGGTACCGCGACTACGTGCTGAACAAGGTGATATTTGTCATCAAGGCTACATTTCCAAGCATGAAGCAGCGAATGGTGCTGCACTATGACATTGCGATACCGCATGGGTCAATCTCGGAAGCGGAGCTTGAGACCGTGTCGACAGAAGGTTTTTTCTTGCTTGAGGCCGTGTAGACAGAAGGTATTTCTTTGGACGTTTGTAATCCGTATAAAATATTTTCGTCAGCCTCTAACAGCACAGATCTCAATGTTTTTGATCTGCACCTTCGCCTCGTTTCAATTCCTACAGCACAAGAAGTTAAGCTGTTATGTGGATGGCGTGGTCCGCCAGTATAGTCATTCGCTGCCCGATATAGGAGTCCTTGCAACACGGTGGACACACTGATGCCGTTTATGCTGTGTCTTGTGTTGCTACTTGTGTAGACTAGCCATTGATGACTAATCGAATGATTGTTGCGAAATCAGCCAATAATTTCCATATATGCACAGTAATGTGGGAAAAGTGTGTTTTTCATATCGAAAAAGCAAGTTGGAGCGGAGGAAACAGTTTCCACTGTTTGATTGATGCAGAAATAGTTGGGAGTAGCGCAACTTTTCCCGGATACTAGAATGCATCACGCGACGACCAATTGCGTGGTTGTCGCGCCAAACGGAACTGCCCAAATTCGCACTATTCTGCATTGTATGCTAAACAATCCATTAGATAGTAGGGAGTAGTCCAAATGTGGGGAACTATTACGCACCTTGCCCATAATAGTTTCCCAGATTTGTACTATAATTTCATTTGATTGCTATTTGTACAAGGTCATCACTCCGAAGCGGCCATCTAGCGAAGACTATAAAGACTATGACACCAGCACCTGAGTCCTCGTGCCTTGAAGGAGATGGAAATAATACAATCATCCAGGCATCATGCAGGTAAACGAGATTGTGTTACCGGTTCCTGTGGACGTGTGCACTAGCTACATTGCACACGTTTCGACAAAGCACTCTGCGGGCCCAAACCAACGGCAAACTCATACTCAACGGTGACCGGATACATCCACGACATCGAGTTGATGTACGAGGAACCAGGGAATTGTTGTCGGACGACTGACTTGACGATGCTGAAGGTACTCCACGAGACTCTTCATATTCGTCGATCTGCTTTTCGAAGACGTCGACGCCAATCATTTCGAGCATGGAAAAAGTCGACGGGATAATCTATGTACTGTTTCGCCCCTAAACGGAACGGGTGCCCTTGAACAAGTTATAAAGAAGGGTATATCTCAAGATCGTCCAACGAATGGAAATATTTCTCATGATCGTCCAAGTTGAACGTTCATGTGGCATTTTATTCCAAATCGCCCTTCGCGGCATCCCTGGCATGGTGGACCAGGTGCACATCGAAAGTCGCTAGGTCATACCGCTTGGTGGCTGTCGCGCTGGGTGTGGCGTCGTGGACGGCGAGAGGTGATTGCAGGGGGCCGCTGAAATTCTGGAAGGTTAAAACCCACAAGAGACCGGCTTCCAACGCTTTTTAGCTCGTTAGCATTTTAGCCAGTCATGCCGCGTTGGACGATTTGGAATAAAAATACGTCATGAACGTTCAACTTGGACGATCGTGAGAAATAACTCCACTCGTTAGACGATCTTGAGAAATACCCTTATAAAGAATATCAAGTACAACAGATATTGATTGTTAAGGACATGTGTCACGACCAATTATTCAATATAGACAACAAGGTCGTCGTTGAGAATGCCTGTCCGAGCACAACAATTTGCTAATGTCGACTGAGACACCGATCGCCGATGGCGTGGGCATGTTTGCGAATGAGTTCACCAGTGATGCACACACCGAGCTCCTGACATCGTTGGAACGAGGTGACGACCTTTTCTTCGACTTCCGGCATGGAGACTTTGCGCTATTTGGTCCGCGCCTGACTTCGGCGCGGGCACTAAGTGTTTGGCTTCGTTGTATGGGTTGCAAATGGTGGATTTCGACGGAGTCACAGCGTAACCAAATCTTGCAGCGGCCCATATGGCTAAGGCAGAATAACATGCATTCGGATCGCTTAAGTGGCTTACATATAGAGCATACTTCTCGGCCAAGGTTATGTGATGCAAGGTTACGCGATGCTTCATGTCTGAATGTATCGAGACTTTGCTGACACGGTTCAAATATTTGAAAACCCCTTGATATTTTATAATACAGGATTATGAAAATTATAGAATATCCCCCGTTCCGTTTAGGTAGGGAAATCAGTATTCTCCTCGATGTGTGAATCGGTTTGTGGACACTAGGACAACGAATGCTGGAGACTCAAACATTTGAACGACATCGGCTACTAACACTGTATTGCACAATGAATTCGAAGAAGAGTTAATTGTAATTACCACCGTCTTCCACCTGTCACCACGACAGCACGCTGAGCGGACCACGAGTAAAGCACACAACACGAACCAGCACAGCTCGGACCAGCTCCCCGGCACATAGAGCAGGCAAACACCACAGTGCACAGCACAGGCTACCGCCATGGCTAATAGAATGGACAGCCATGACAGCACACAGCACAGACACACAGCACAGACACACAGCATCGCCGACGGCCCTCCTTTAATGTTGCCCCCGCATATAATTTTTAAATTTAACATGCTTGTGTGGAATTAGAAGACAAGTCTCGTCCGCTTACCAATTAACAATCCGGAAAAATTGTCATTTGTCTCAGATTTCATCGAAGATTTCAAAGTATCCTCTAGAACTGCCAGCGACTGGTACGGTTTCTGTCGCGACGTGTGCTCATCCGAGATGCTCAAGTGCGAAATGAGGGTACCTTTAAGATTTGATACATACCTTCACAATAGATATACATATTTTGAGATGTTATAGATTGGTGGAGAGGATTCCGTTGTCAAGATCGACGAAATGTCGTTCAAGAATTAATCCAAGTAGAATTGCGGTACGCGGCATCCGGAGTGTTGGCTTTTTGGTGGAGTCTACAGAACGACGAAGAAGTGGTTTGGCGTAAAGACATTTGAAGACCGATGCAAGCATACGTTGTCTAGTCTCATTCGAAAACACGTGCGACCCGGTACGTTGATCGCGTCGGACAAATTTGGGTTGTACGTGTCTTCGAATGAAGAGCACACGCTACCTAACAACCCTACCTTGGCAGGGATGGGATGCTCCCATCAATGAGTAAATCACTCAGAAAACTTCGTGAACTCTGCCATCGGTGCCATAAGCAGTCTGTGGAGGGTGTGTGGGAAGTCCGCGTGTAGCAGTGTACCAAGGCCATGCGTGGTTTCATAGAGACCACCTTCATCATGAAAGTGGTGGAACAGCCGATACATACGTGAACAACACTTGGAGATACAGCGCCGGCGTGCGCTGGAGCCAAAGTGTTGGGTTGCGTCGCTGAGAAGTGGCGTAATCAAAGATGGCGAAAGATGAGTAACTGGGACATCACCTCCTTCTTCCTTGCCTTTCATGGGGACGCTGTCTTGGCGGCACTTGTTCAGACCGTTGTTGTCACTTGAAACAAGTACTGTACATTCAGGCTGCCTTGAGGCTTGAATACGTTCGCAGCTGTAGACGTGCGGTTGCTGACACCCCCTCCATCAAAACATAAATAGAGAGTCGTCTTGACTTGAGTGATGTTGACTACAGCGAGAGACAGAGTAGAAAAACGAAATGACCTGGGAGTCGAGCGCTTGAGAGTCGTGAAGGTAATCGGGAAGTAGCCGACGGTAGTGTGAGGTCTGGTTATGATGATGGCATTCGTGCGAAGTCCGAGCAATTCTGACGTGTACATGGGACATCACGATGGAGGCATCGGTCTTCAGGTGGGACAGATGGGTGCGAGCATGGAGGCGGAGTAAGGCAAGGACTGTGGGAAAGAGCTTCAGGTGCGATGGTGGGCGCGTCTTCTGGTACAAAGGTTTATTGTGGTGAAGCCAAAGCAAACGGAAGGTAATGCATCGAACCATCTGAAACAGGAGTCGAGTCGGCGAACGAAAAGTGTCGGGGATAGCGATAAAGAGGTCGTCGGGTGGGAACAATAGGTCGGGCCACGACATCGAACGTTGCGAAAGCGTGGTAAATGGGGTCAGAAGTTGATCCCATAAGGCAACTGCGACAGTGCAACGCCAGAAAATATGGTATGCATCTTCAGTGGTATCTTGGTCGACTTGGCATCTGTGCACACGTACGGGCCACAGAGGTCGACGTGTTCCATTGAAAGCGATAGAGGATACCAAGAGCGTTGTGCTGTAAGCGGAACTTCAGGTGGGCAAACACTGGTAGATGGCGCGATTAAGATTGGTTTCAGCGGTACATCCAAAGGGATTAGGTGCTGTGTCCAGATGGAGACGATGCAGCGGGTTGGTAGGTAAAGAGCCAGGAAGGAGGGACTTGTAGGATTTCGCCGTTGTGATCATTTTTTTGCAAGAGTGCCAAGCTTCAATTTCCAGTGGTGGTTAGCGGCATAGATCGGGAGGGGAGGGAGCGATGGCAGTGGACGTGTGGGTTCCTTGGGAAGGCTTGTTCTAGCTTGGATAGGAAGACACGAGCCATGCGTCGGAGTATGGAGCGATTGACCAGTGGTGATGAGATGGTCATATAGTCGGACGACGGAAGGGACGATATCGAAGATTCGGTACAGATTCCACACTCGAAAGATGTGTGTCATCAGCAGTCCGGACAGTCGAGTTGCCTTGAGATGGAGCGCCTTGTTTTGGTTGGAGCGGAGGTGTGAAGCAACCCAGAGAGGCATTGTGATCGTCGCGGGCATACAGTATTCCTGACCTTCAGAGGGGTGTGGTCGAAGCGCTGCTGTGAAGAGGTCGAGAGATGGAGAGAGAGACGTCAGTGGTGTCTTGGATCAGCGCTGTGCGGAGATGGCATTGACGAGCAGGCTGAGGTGGAGTGCTCGGTATTGGAGCTCGATATCGGGTACAGTAATTGAAGGCCCCCTCTGAGCGTGGGACAGAAAGCCATTCCTGTGGCATATGATTGCGTAGCTGTGAGGACTTGGACATCTTCCCAGCGAGGAAAGACTTGACAATGGGAAGTATGAGCTTGAGCGTGGCTTCGAGTAGCGGGGTCGCGGCTGCGATGTATCAAATAAGTGGAAGGATAACAGTGCGAAGGATGATAACGCGGCCTTGGAGTGTGCGAGCGCTCTATTGCCAAAGCGTGCAGCGTGCCAATATCTTCAAAGGAAGGTCATGGAAACGTATGGATGACGTCATCTTGGGGCCTTTCCAACCACGTACATTGTCCATCGGCATCGACGACTCGGATCGAGGGAAGGGTGGCGAGAATGGCTTGTGCAGGGAATGGGAGAGACTACGTGAAGGACATGATGCTGCTTCATGCCAGTAGCTGAGCGGAAGTCTTGGATGAGGCTGGGAATGCGGGGGGGGGTCGCTGTGGTCGTGCAGGTATCCCGTGACGTCATCCGCGAAAAGCTGATACGGTATGTATAGTTGGCTCGTGCGTATTCCAAAGTCTTCGAGATGGCCCGGAGAAAACATAGCAAGGGCTCGATGAACAATACAAACAGCGCCGGGGATATGGGGTCACCTTGGCGTACGCCGGAGCCAGGTTCGAAAGCAGCGAGTGGTATGTCGTTCAACACAGCGCAGACGAGGGTGCCGTGGAAGAACATGTTGACCATGTTCAGGAAGCGGGTGCCGAAGCCGTGATAGGTGAGAATACGATTCAACGTCGAACGAGAGACCGAGTCGAAGGCTTTGGCAAAATCCAACATTACAGCGCCTGCAGAGGGAGACGTTCCGCTGGCAGAGGCGTTGGAGTGATTGGAAACGCAAAGGGCATGTTGGATGGATCGCGTGGGTGTGAACCCATATTGGTTTAACCCGAGAAGTTTCGGCAGGAGTTGGTTGAGCAGACGGGTGACAACCGCGGGATCCAGCTTGGCGGAGACGTTAGTTTGGTCAGTGCGCGGTAGATGTATACATCCATGAGATCACCTGCCTTGTACAGTAGCGCTAGGGAAGCACGTCGTTGGACCTTGGACATGCGGCTTTGAGCTAAATTCGACGCATAAAGAACTTCGTGGTAGTGGGGCGCCCACTTTGACTGGAATACTTTGAAGTATTCCGCGGGAATACCGTCAGGGCCAGACGCGCGATTGTTGTGTGCCTTGGCAATGACGAGATACTGTACAGCGTGCATGGCTTGTCGCATCGCTGGGATGACTCGGGACGGCTGTGAGCGTGGGGTGTAGCGCAACATGGGTGTGGAGAAAGGGAGCTTGTATTGGGTAACATGTCGGCTAGGCGAGTGGAAGATGCTAGCTCAGCATTCGCGACATTGCTTGGATTTCGCGGTAAGTTCTGCTTCAGTAGCCTCGGGGAAACATGGGCAAGCCGCTGATACTTGGGGGGATCGGAAGAAGTGCGACGAGCAAGTCTCATCCAGATGTATTGTGTTTTCGAAATAGGAAGACATGTTGCGTTATTTAATTGTTGATTGCGTGACATTACGCGTGGCGGTCAGCAAAGACAGCAGTGGCACTATTATTGGTGGGGTATTGATAGTGCGCCTGGAGGGCCTTGGCGAGTGTCAGCGGAGGGTCTGGAATTCCTTCAAATCGGCACTGGGACGGGCATGGAATTGTTCGTTGGGACCAAGTGTCCGACGTTCCATCGCAAACTTGCCTTGTAAACGTGTTTTCGCGTTGAATATAGATTAGCAATGCGCGATCGTGAGTGAATTCACGTCGATGAGATCAAAAATCGACCCCTCCACCAGGACTAACTGACTCTATTTTCCTCATCCCGCACCTTTGACGTCACGTCGAAGCTACAGGAACTGCTCGCTTGTCCGATTCTCGATGCAAACTGAATTACAGTCAGTTAGCCAGTGGCCCGAGTTTCGAGCCACCTTGCTAACCGCACTTACTGGACATCTACTACTAGCCTTACTAGTAAGGACCTAAGCCAATCAGATGTCTCCAACCTTCGCCTTTTTCACCAATAAGATCTTGTTTAGATTTAGCGTTTGACCGAAATATTACACATTGTTTGGGACCCGTCCAACCGACCTTTCACGAGGTTGAGTCGGCTCGTCGGCTCTGAGCATCCAGAACTCTCTGCCACTGGCTTCGCCATAAAGGAAATCACGTCCCACACCACTCGGGTTGCAGCCCCAAGTAGAAACGGTTCAGATGCGCAGGATTTGCTTGCATATGTTGGAGCGCTTTCTTGCACCCCGAGCCCACAGAGAATCAAATAGAGCCCTGCATGACTCATCTTGCCGCGTCGGCAATCTGACCTACGGTAAATCGTCAGTTGCACAACATTAGGGTGTGTTTGGACTAGGTACGCCTTTGCAACCTTTCTGGATGTGCATATTCCGCCCGTCCGATTCAGCGTCAAGGAAAACCCGACCAGGTTATGTCGTTTTGCCCGTTTACCGTCCAATGCGATTTTCGTACGCAAGGAGTGGACACCTCGTGCGCTATTCAACATACGCGCACATTTGTTATATCACAACGGACCGAATGAAACATTCCTATACCGACCAGATCATTGCAGAACTTTTGTGCGTCGCTTTATCCGCGACACCGAGCAATGCGTCTGATTAATTCCTCTTTGATAATATATCGCACAAAAGAAACTATCCAACATGACACACCTCAACCACGGAGGCAGCTAGAAATATCATCTGTGTGGATCCTCTGGGCTCCCTGCGGGAACTAGTGTTTCACGACCTTGTCGCTTTACGACCAATCAAAGCCCCATAGGCCAGAGAGTACATATATAACAAGAATGAAATTCCTGACGGGGTGTTGAGGGCCTCCCCATAACAAGCTGACCCCGCGGGAGCGTCGAGGATGGGTGGTTAGTTGCCCACCATGGATCTCAGATTTCTGTTCAAATATGGAGATTCGCTCAAGATATATATAGTACATCAATCACTCTCTCGAGTTAGTATAACATACTTAATCAAGTGATTCCAAAAGTGTATTGAGCGATATATAAGTCAACAAATGAGAGTCGATAATATGAACCGTGCGGTAGGTTGAGCAAGTCCACCTCACTATCCTCAGAAGGAGACCGTCGACCTGCCTCTATCATCAACGCCACGTGCCCACCACCCATTCCAACGCAGAGAACCGGGAACAAGCCGAACAAGCCCTGCTATATTCCTTGACTCTTTGTTCCCATTGCAAGTCGGACAACTGTGGAAGACGAGATCAAGGCAGACGGGTGTTTGCATGAGTTCCAAACCCGCCGCCACAATTTCCGCGATTGGACTCCTGTGAGTTGGTAAAACTGTTGCCCCGTCATATCAAAGTTGATTGTCACGGATCTTATTACTCACGTCTTGACGACTTCAGTTGCATCCAACGATCTGAGGCACCAAAAATGGCGCGAAGGTGGTCCAGCTTCCCCTTTAGCCACGTTCATGCGCACCATTGACACGACAGCGAGTTTCCAAACGATGTTACGTCGCTGCGACCGCGAGAAGGTGGCGGAAGCCCTCAAAGGCTGACTCTCTGGGTCGTAGGACGGTCTCTGCATCACGAAAGTAGCACTCCAATCTAGTTAACCCATTGGTCAGCAATGAGTCCATCTGTTGTGACAACCGGTCGTCTATTCCCAACGAAGTCGCTTCGGCTTTCTTCAGTTTTCGATTTCACTGCCCACTCAAAAGCCTTTCGATCATGCTGCCGTCGTCCACCCAATTCTTGGCGCCTCCTCATCACGACATGGACGAAACCCGACTGATGAACACCATGCGAGCCCAACTGAGCCAGTTTTCGCAGGAAGATCTGCTGCGGCAGGCGGCCGTGCAACTCCCCGACGAAGTGAAAAGTCAGTTGCGTCTCCTTCAAACCATCAAACTCCACAACGAGATGCTGCGAACCCTCGTGCAACAAGTTGACTCACAACCCACGACATTCTCGTACCCGATTCAAGACCCCCAACCGACAGATGTGCAAACCACCAAGGAAATCCTGGCTTGGTACTTCTCCGAAGACAACCACAATTGCAACAACACAGCAAACTGCACGTGCTAGCCCATGCCCACACCATTCGTCCCTTAATATTATTCCTTTTAAAACGTTGGATGAGGTGTACTCAAACTGCCAAGGCATGTTGACGAGGACTAGTCACACTCTTCGCAACACGAGGTCTCGTTGAAGAAGACGTCGAATACAATTACGGCGACTCCAAACCTGCAATCGCATGAAGGAAGCCAGTGCGGAGTGTGCAGCCTCGTTTCAACTGCTATCCCCACAAACCCAGGCAAAGGTCGCAGTCCACCAATATCCACCAACTTCTCTGCAGGAATCCAAGATGCAGTTGACGCGATTGAATGCATACTAGACGCGTTTGTGAAGTCTGCTCTATTCATCCAGGGTTAACGGCATTCTGCATCCCACGTCGAAGTAGCATGTTAGCATATGACGTAAACAAGATTTCATTTATTATGCAACGAAAGGAGGTCGAACTGTGTACATACTATACATTAGAAATTTGATAAATGATCATCTACTTCGGGTACGTAGTATCAAACCTAGCTTACCTGGGCAAAACATTCGAATATATACAAATTTGAAGTGTAGTGAATCTTCAAAGCGTGCGGATTTGCGTCCTGTCCGTCTGCTTGTGGTGGGTCTTGGGCGGCAGAATGGCATCGCACAGGGCATTTGAACAAGAAATGCACGGCCGTGAGGTCGTTGATGCTCATCGAAAGGGCGAGAAAACCTGCGTATACTGGCGTTGCCAGGTGGGATTCGACAGTCAGGAGTACGAAGTACTACACGTACTACTGAAAGGTATACTTTAAATATGTACTAGTACTACTGTTTAGTATGTTCTTCGATCATTTCTCGTTTTCATCGTATACTACGTAGTAGTAATAAAGAACTTCGGACCTCTACACACTACACAATTTCATATACAGTACGGCGCGGGTGTCGAGTTTGTGCGAAACTAACAAGTAATCACTCATAGATTTCTTGAGTTCGTTGGCCTTGACCTTCGACGATATGAAGTGCGAGCAATATTGATCAAGGCTGCGTGTGCTTTCATGCACAACTGTAGTCGCATGTTATTAATATTCGACTCAACTTTTATTGACGTACCTTGCGCAGGAATATAATTATCACAAGCCAATCACGCGCCTTGATATGGTTTGACCATTTTTATTGTTGTTACATTTTCCCGAAATCCATTGGCGACCCATTTTATTGTTAATCCGTCAAACCTGACATTTCAACTTGGCACTACTGTACTACTAACGTTACACTAGTAAGGTTGTTTCTAATTAGTACTACTGGGTAGTGTGTCACCAACGCACTAGTACTACTACTACATGAGTTTTACGCAACAAAATGGCACAACACCAAAAAGATCCGACGGACAGGAGCTGTCACCATGGGCTATATAGGGTATCGGTCAACCCCACTGATTGTGGCTCTAGGTGACTCGATCACTCAGTTCGGCGCCGATCCAGCCATCCAAGGCTTTCAAGCGCTTTTGTCGCAGGACTACGTACGTAAGGCCGACGTACTGAACCGCGGCTTGTCGGGGTGGACAACTCGTTGGTGGGTGCAATACTTACCGCAACTCATTCGCGAGTGCGGTGACAACGCCCCCGTGCTGGTGATCATCGCGCTGGGGGCGAATGATGCGTCCCTAGCAAGTGGCGAGTCGCACATTCGACATGTCCCTCTCGACGAATATCAATCAAACTTGCGAGTAATTGTCAACGGCCTTCGTGCAGCGTTTCCCCTCTGCCAGTATTTGTTCCTGACACCCCCTGCCGTCGATAACTCCAAGTGGAATCCCGCCGACAAGCTCAACGCCGTCACGCAAGCGTATGCGAAAGCGTGTGTTCAAGTCGCGGTCGCGCTCAACATTCCTGTGATTGACACGTGGCAAGCCACACAAGGTCGGTGGGAGTTATTCCGCGACGGAGTGCACCCCAACACGCAAGGCAACGTGCTCTTTCATCAGCTCATTCAATCGTCGATTGCGGCTTCATATCCACATCTAACTCCGCAAACTCTTCCCCTCAACTACCCCGACACTCCTCCATCGTGAGAAGTTATCGCTGCTCCGCCGACCGCAGAGATCACCGTGGCACCCAACATCGAATCGCATCATGGTCTAACCATCACGTTCCAAGTATCCAGAGCTCTAATGGTGTTAAGAGATGTGATTCCATCCGGGGCGGAAGGGACCTCGGACGGAGCACGATGTCTTTGTCGGCCAGTCCATTCCCTCATAAATTACGCCGTCACAGACCCAATATATATGAAGGCAAACGTTCATCGCACCGGTGCACAGATCCTGGAGCTGTTCTTAGGCTTCGTTTCCAATTGATGCTGCACACCATCTCGGCCCCACAGGAACATCATGTTCATATCACCTTGGTAACACGAAAACTCGAGTGCTTGGACTCAAGTTTGGTCAAGCAAGCATGGAGAGGTGCCGGCTCGTCCGCCTGGAAACAGAGGCATGGCATGTTGTCATTACCACGCGTCTTTCAAGCGCTTGGTTTTCCTCCACGTATCCTGCTGCCACGTCCCTCCAGTCGCAACGTCACAGGGACATGCACATACACTCTGACCATCGTGGACCAACCAGACGAATCCAACCGGCCATGGAATGAACCAGAGCTCTTGGAGCGCTCCGATGCGTTCGCGGATTCTGACCTCCAAGCAATCCCAATTGCCTCCGACTGCACCGCTCGAAATTCAACGATGCCACCAGAGCGCGACTGTCGGTCGCACTCAGAAGTGCAGCTTTCACCGCGAGGGACGCGTCCATGACTTTAGGTCTTAGCCGGGGCTGCGAAGGTCAGTTGCGAGGATGGCCTGCGACGACGCGTTCGAGCTGGCTATGAGTGTGATACTACACCTCTACAACCCAGCTCGCATCAGTACGTCCCCTTAATGGCCTCTCTCTTTGAGTGGAGTGCGTAGGAAGCGCAGGCACTTCTTTCGACGACATTGACGAACGTTGTTTTGGTGTCTTGAGTCTGGGGTCGTCCGTGGCATTCCAACCTTTAGATGCCTCTGCGGAATGGAGACGAAGTGCGTTGCAAGGTTGATACGCCCACCTTAGGGACGTGGAGGTGAACGGGTTAGCACGACCGAGCTAGCGCTGCTGCCGATCGATTTCGATTCACGACTTGAGCGGAACGCTCCAATTTGCACACATCAAGCTCGGCCACCCATGATGCTTTGGGTGTTACGAAGCCCTTTCTTTCTTGGACATGGGGTGGTGGTAGATAATGTCTTGGGGCATCGCGTAACACTTGTACCCGAGCATGCCCGCGACGTAGCACAGGCCCTCAGTCTCGATCCCATCGTACCCTTCGTATTTCCAGTCGCTCCCGATGACGTGGTGCGTTGTGAAAACGACGCCCTGCCGGTGAATGTCTGCTTTCACGTACAGCATCGTACCTACGTCGACCATTATCGTTTGATACATGGCATGCGCCATCTGGACATACCACCGACGGAATCCAAGGGGTAGAATTCGTGCCAACGCATGTCGTTCATGTGACGTGTGAGCCCGTCGTCGGCGGGGCCAGGAACAAACAAGAAATTGCCTTGTCGATACGCTTCCAGTTCCTCCTGCGTCGGCAGCTTTCGATTGCCATGCCATGCGTTCAGGTCATAGTCAAAGTTGGTGCCGGTAAGGTGGCAGAGCGGCTGCAAAATGTCCAGCTTGGCTGGCCACGACCAGGTCAAACCAGTGCCCCCCCATGATACCAGCGTAGAGACGTACCAGCCACCATCTTCGACACCAAGTAGCTCGGGATCACAGCAATGTCGGCGTCGATCCAAACCACGTGCGAGTGCCATGACTCGAGGCTCTGAGACAACGCGTAGTTTCGGTACCGCGCAAGCATCCGACGCCGTTCCTTCTGGACGCTGGCACTATGGCGGCGTCCCCGCGACGATACGGAAGCCAAGTCGTTGCGGTAAATCAACGTGACCCTGCAAGATCAAGGTCGCATGTGAATAACCTCTACATGGTTATATGATGGGAATGCGTACTGCGCCCAGCGCGCCGTGGTCAAGATGGCATGGAAGAGCTGCTTGAGCATGTCGTATTCGTCGAGGGACGACGTGAGGATCCCTAGTGACACCTTGGTTGTCGGGTAGTCGAACGACAGCACCAGTTGAACGAAATCTTGCACGGTGCGACCTGTGCCCCAAGATTCCTGCAACCTCCACGATGAAACACATCACAAGAACGGGGCGGCACGACGAACCTTGTTGTTGTACACGACAACAAGAAGCACAGCGTCCTTGATGTATCCATCACCTTCCATGATCCCAAGGTTGCGCAGTCGGTAGAACATGGACACTTGGTCGGGCGCGTCGTCGGTGGGAATCGGCATGACTGTTTCAAACGCTTCAAGGGGATTCAGCGACAGTGCGGCCCGACACCGCGCCGAGTCCATTGTGCTCAACGTTTCGGTGTCCGCCTCCGTCATCGGGACGTATTGGATGGAGCGAACGTTCGAACCAGCGGTGACTTGAACACGCTCGAAGAAATCACGATTGATGTACAGCAGGACGAGGACCGCCGCGCCGACGACGGCGACCCATCGCGCATGTCGTCCATGAACTGGGCTGTTGTGCCTGTGCATCGACTTATCCGGAGCCTCATCGTCCAGTTGGGCAATATGTGATTTCCTACTACTAATAGTAATACTAACGGATGTCCTCGACGGATAACTTCAAGTACCATGAGTACAACACTGCACAATGCTGTCGCAGGATCCACTGAAGCAGTTGGAACAAGTCTTGTGCTGCGTATTCAGGTCTAGCAGTTCGCAGGAGCTCAAGCGGCTTTATGCCAGCGAACAGTTTGGTGTGACCGTTTTAGACGCTTGCAAAGGGCTGCTGATCGCTGTGGAGTGCTTCGTTCGAAAACGTTGGAAAGGTGCTAACGTTACGGGAGTTTTTGTTGGGTTCGAAAATGTTGGAAAGGTGCTAGTTCTTGTTGGGTAGTGTGAGCGAATTTCACTTGCAGGGAGTTCAAACTCCGCTTAGAAATGCATAGATGACACTCAACGGTCGGTGTGACCTTAGAACGTTCGACGGCGCGACAGGACGCAGGCCACGTGCTCTCGGACCGAATTGCCACTTAGCTGCCAACGCTCTCGACAATTAACCAATGAAGTTTCACTAACTCGAGTGATCAGGGAGCTTGCGCCACGTTACAGTGAACCCCGGAAAAAGCCGACACCCCTAAAAAAGCCGACCACCTCTGTAAGATGATCTGTTTTAATAAATTCTGCCACCTGTATATTTCAATATCACTTCATAATTGTCCTTCTTTTTGACCAATTGCAGTGCAGAACAAAAACTACTGTGATTGGTTAACGTTTTGAAAGTTCAAACGCATTCCATATTAGAGCAGAGTATCATATAGCCTGTCATGCCTAGCTGTCACAACTCGTATACTCGTATACCATCGGCGAGAAGCGAAAACTTCTTGCGTCGTTGTTGTTAATTTTGCTTACTAGGAGACCTTCACAGCATTTTGGAACCATGCCTGCGAATACCACAAGCGTATGCCAGCCATTGGATGTTGGCGTGATGGGTCCATTCAAGAAGCTACTTCGTACTCTTTGGTTCGAGGAAACGCCGATGAATACAGCTGCGGAGAAACGAATGGCCATGATCAAGCGCTCAATTGCGGCATGGGACAGAATTTCGCCAGAAGCCGTCAAGAGTGCATTCAAGAAGGCAATTCCAAAACCCGAAATTGTCGTGGTGTAGGTTGATAGGGAATGCATGTGTGGTTAGGGTTGTTTCTGAGCAGGAGAACATGAAATTTCACAAATCTCAAATGTCAGACCCCCCATACTGAGGTGTAGTTAAATTTGTAGCGCTTCTGATTGGTGCACATAAATTCTCCTGATTATAGCCAATCAACTTGAACTAAGCCGCGTAATTTAATAAATTCGATTTTATTCCGCTTCCATGCATTTCAGGATGAAAGCATGTCGGCCTTTTCCGGGGTTCACTGTATCGTGTACGGAATTGTATGATAAACCATGTTCAGTGATTCATGCCGTAAGTTCTAGCGCCGACGTGCTATTTGTCGTCGACGAAGATAGGATGGCGTTGAACAGGACGACAGCGTCACCTGCTACGCCCAACGAACGACTGCCAAACCATCACGGATGCTCCTTCCAATTTGTTGCCCATCAGCCATGTTTCCAACCATGAGCACGGGAAAAACCAGCATCCCTGTCCATTTGTGCACCCCCTATGGTGCAGATATCGACGTCTCAACGGTGCATTCCCACGGTCCAGCACGTGTACGAAATGTCACCAGCACGTTTTTCGCTTCCAAGACGACGACTCGCTGCCACAAGGCTAACGCTCGGCAATGCATGCAAGATTCAGCTGCGTGTTGCAAGCTCGACACAGAAAAATTCTCGCACAACGCGGAACACGCGCAAACGTTGTTGGCCCCCTCACTAAGTATGACCGAAGATTTGTTTGAAACAGACTTCGCAACTTCGCATGACAAAAATGTCGGATAGTTAATCGTAAGCGCGAGGAATAGACACCCGGCTGCGTCAAGCACAGGTCTTCCTCACGTTGCCGAATTTTGTGTGCCCCAAGTCCATGCATGGCTGCTGCCCCGCCTTGGAGACTGTCGTCTCAAGCGTACTAATCAATCTAATATTACTAATCCGATGGGGCGGACGATTTTGAACTGACCAATCCAACGGAGTTTTGACTAGTGTCGTCGAATTTGACAACATGGTGCGGGTCCTGCCACTGGCTGCGCGAGGATTGCCACTCGGACGCGCTTGGGCCGGAAGATGCCTCGTTCGTCCACCTGTGTCTGGATGTTATCGTCACCAGCGCATCTTTAGCACGTCCAGCGACCAGCCGTCCTCCAAACAACCGAATCCGTTTGCACTGGAAAAGCATACGTGGGCAGAAACGCATGCCCCGTCATGGATGGTGCCGTACATTCAACTGTCCCGCATCAACAGACCTGCAGGTGTGTGGACGACTTCTCCCATGATCATTCACAGTTGTCAATACATTTGCTGGAACAGGCACGTACATGCTTTTGTGGCCGTGTTTCTGGAGCACGGCACTGGCGGCCCCAGTCGGTGCATTCCCCGACCCGTCGCTTCTAGCGCTTTTCGCGACGGGGTCCGTCATTATGCGCAGTGCCGGGTGCACGATCAACGACATGTGGGACAAGGACTTTGACAAGCAGGTCGAGCGAACCAACCAGCGCCCGTTGGCTTCCGGTGCACTGACCTATCCTCAAGCGTGGCGATTTCTGGCGTTGCAGTTGTCCGCTGGGTACCAGCCGCTCCCGATTACCTCATCTGCGGTCTTACCACGGCATGACTAGTTTGGCCGTGCTGCTTCAACTGAATCCTTACACGATTGGCCTTGGCGTGACGTCGTTGGGCTTTGTGGCCGCCTATCCATACATGAAGCGCATCACGTATTGGCCACAAGCAATGCTCGGACTCACGTTTAATTACGGTAAATCCCCCACTATATGAATTATTATTTGACTGCCGGGGCACTCCAATGCAGGCGCGCTAGTCGGGTGGGCTGCAGTGCACGGAAGCTGCGACTGGACTGTCGTGTTGCCTCTATACGGAGCTGGCGTATCCTGGACGCTGGTGTACGACACACTTTACGCGCATCAAGTAATCCATTCGAATGGAGCTACTGTCGGCCTTTCTTCGCTGACTCTGTTCTGAACTAGGATAAAGAGGATGACGAGCGCATCGGCGTCAAGTCGACAGCCCTCTTGTTCGGCGGCTACACGAAGCCCATTCTGAATGGATTTGCCGCCGCTACCATCGCCGGCCTAGCAACCGCGGGGTACATGGTGGACCTGAGCCTACCGTATTACTTGGGCCTCGGTCTCTCTGGCGTGCAGTTGGCGTGGCAAGTGAACACTGCCAATTTGGATGATCCCGTGAACCTCCAGCAGCGATTTGGGTCGAACAAGTGGTTTGGAGCACTTGTGTTTGGCAGCATCGTCGCCGGAAAAGTTCTCTGAGCACCCTTTTTAATTGGGAAGCCACGATGCATGCGTCATGGATTCTATCATGGAGGATGTTACTTGGCAATTGCATCGATGCACCATCGATGACGCGAGCGCTAGAAGATGATGCGTGTCTCTTCAAGTCCATTAGTATTGGGCCTTGCTACAGGATGTATTCGTGTGCCTCTGGAACGATCGCAAGTAGTGGTCGCCAACCGGTGGAGTCGATACTATTGGACCAGCGAACTCCTCGCCGCTCATAGTCGCGGACTAAAGCACAGTGACTGGCCAGCCGCCATGCCTGCCAGATTAGAGGTCGTGCACACGGTGGCTACGAGCTACCAGCACTCAATGACACGAATCAATATCATTTTGCCCGCAGGAACATGGCCAGGCTCTGCCGATGGAAAGGCTCACAGCGACAGTACATGGCCGTAAGGGCAACTAGCTCTGAGAATCATACTTCATCATGTTCATGCATCACCTGTCGAAAAGGCAATGCCCCGTTACCACCACATTCGAACCATCAAAGGACGCATTCGCTCCGTGAGCGCCTGCAAAGCAATAGGTGCCCACAGTAGTTACTCCACTACCCACTGCCATCGTCATTGTCAGAGCTGTGCAAGCTCAGTATATCGCCGACAACTTAGACCCAGCTTGCAATGCCATGGTACACTCGGAACCACCACTCCGACTAGCAAATCCTTTGCCACCTTCCTGTGGTGAGGTGGAGGCTTTCGAATTCCCTGACACTGGAGTGATCTATAGGTATTGATTTCCCTGAAGCTGGGCACTTGAATCGCAGCTAGTAGGACAAATAACAATGCATTGCAGCTCGTCGCTCCTGCCGTAACTTTTGCTGGACTAAGTGCTCCGATAATCTGTTCCCTCGACACAATCTGCGCTTCAATGTGGCATCTCTTTCTGCGCAACGCCCCTCGCTTCGTGGGTGCACCACGTTGAAAGGGCTGCTAGGTCGTTTGGGCCATCAGGTTCTCTGCCCGACCATTTCGTTCGAGTTGGAACCTACTTTGAAACGTCGTTGTAACGGATCGGGGGTTGAACGGTCAAATCCAGGGATTTCATTGGCGGTTTCTTTACATTTTCATATTTTTGACCAATCAAACGTATTCAATGGAACTCAACGCAGTTGCCTCGAGGTTTCTTCATGCCTGTGATGGCGGCAATCTATGCCGACAAGGGCTCGGCATTTGACAACGCGATGAATCCGACGCACGAACATGGAGCTGCTCTAGGCTGTGGCGTTGAAGAGCACGTGAGCTTTGCCCTGCAGTCTTTCCTCGCCATCGACAGCGACGCGCATGAAATCCTTGAGGTACGTTTTTTGAACCAACGTAAATACCATTCCTGTGCAACTCATGTAGTGGATGCTGTAGGAACTACGATGGAACAAAGTCCGATCCCCACACACTCCGAGACAGATCCTCCTGCGCGTGCGATCACACTCCCTCGGGCGAATCGGCGAAGACGACGGAGATGAAAGAGAAGCCAGTGAGGTAGACTCGGCGTAGGTTTTGTCGACGACATCGAAATCATGAGTTAACTTGGTAAGCATGACCGAAGCGTCAGGACGTCGCGAGATCTGGATGATAGAGATCAACTCACCGACAGTTGTGACTGGTGATATAAGACACTCGATGGACCCTTGCATTCAGCATTACACCGTATTCCTTGACGCCATACACACAATATGGAGGGCATCTTCCTTCGCTGTGACTTAGTACGAGGTCTTGGTGGTGAAATCGACCAACACAGTTTCCTTGAGCTCGTCTTCGCGGTACGGCGTCGTATCGATGTTGATAGCCTTGACGGGTGACACTTCGACATCGTCGGGGATAATGCCATCAGGGAAACACACTTCCAACGGCAACGGCGGGTTGCGCATGAACTTGGAACCGCCTGGCATGTGCACAACTACGTACGGGTCGGGGTGCGTGTACTTTTCCAACTGCGCATTGGCTTCGCGGATCAACCGTTGAGCGACAGCGAGGTCGGTGTGCTTGTTGTCGTCAAATTGGCCACGAATTTTCGTCGCTTCTTCGTTCCAGAGGCGGCGGTCGATTACCCAGCTGTCCAAGAGCTTCAGCGAGCGCTTGTACAGACGTGTCACCTGCTGCTTGTGCGTCAGCGTAGGTGCCGCACCCCGCGCTGACAACGCGGCCTGCAGGAACGCTTGGTTCAAGTTGCTCGTCATTCTCCTCCAGACAATGCGAAGTGAGGTGGGGAGTAATATTTATTTCCACAGGACCTTTAATAAATCATAAGTTCGAAGTTGAAAAATTCACAATATTCTTAGGCCTCCTCTGGATGCCACAAAATATTCAATAAAATTGCAAAATATTCAATAATTTTATGAAAATATTGAATATTTTGATTTTGGATATTTTGCCTGTCTGGATACGAAAAATTGAATAATATCCAAGCCGAATTATGCAATAAAATGGACAAATTATGGAGAAAAAAATATACATCTTCGACATGTATATTTTGAGAAATGTCATTTTTGCAAAGGATTGCGCGCGAAGACCTCCCCAAGCACCTCAAGACATGGTCCTGTGGAATGAAGCGTTGGACAAACTCTGGTTGAACGAGCTCATACGCCAAGTCGGCCAAGTTGGGAAGCGAGCAAACAGCGGGTATAAGAAAGAGGCATGGAAGGCAGCTCTGCACGCACTCAATGAAGGATCTGAAGTCAAGTTCACGCAAGCACAACTTCGATCCCGTCACGACATGATGAAAAAGGCATTTCGTGTTGTTTCCAGTATGTGTGAAGCGTCTGGAATGGGCTTCGAAGCAACAACGTGCCAGATCGTTGCCTCAGAGGCCACGTGGGAATCATATCTTCGCGGCAAGTCGAATGAAGTGAAGAAGTGGAAGGGAAAACCATTTCCATGCTACTTCTTGTGCCATGCACTGTTCAAAGGCACTCTCTCTACTGGTGCGTTTGCATTTTCGACTGCCCCAGAACCTCCAACAACGCAGCCACTACCCTCGTCCCCAAGGTTTGAAAGTTCGGACGCGTCTGGTGATGAAGAGGGGTCACAGTCCGAGTCACATGGTCAAGTGGCTGATTCAGAAGATGCACAAGTCGATTTGCAAGGTGCAGCTGTTGTGGATGCTCCATTAGACAACCAACGGCTCCCCCGACGTCTTCCTGCGATCGATGGTCCTCAAAAGCGTCAGAGAACGTCTCTTGGGTCCAGCATGGTTCAACAAATGCGTGAAACAAAGGAAATGATGCAAGCGCAGTCCGTTGCATTGACAAATGCTGTCCTAGTGGCAAGTCGCCAGGCTGATACTACACCGATGTCATCGTCTGAGCTTGCCGCAAGAGTTTTGCAGGAAGAGTTCAGTGCGATCTTGAGCGTGGATGATCTTCTTGTGGCATTTGACGTCATTGAGAACGGAACAAAGGCGGCCATGTTTTTGCAGATGAAAGGCGATGTGCGTGATTCTTGGCTTTATCGGCAACTTGCTCTTGCGAGAACACGAATTTAGTTATCCACGGATTAACGGTTGCGAACACGACGATGCAGCTCAGCTTGATATTGTTCCCACATGCTTGTTGCAATGCTGTCGCGCCAATGTTTTGCTTCAGAAGTCTCAGCGATGTCACAGGCCTGTCCAAGATCCATCGCTTCCAATGGCTGTTTATTGCGCCGGCGGAGCTCTCGAGTTGCCTGCCGCACGAACAAATCATCCGACGAGTCATTAAGCCGAATGAAATTGTGCAGTACGCACAATGCCGGGAAAAGCTTGGTCTGGAACGAGTAGCTGTATTGCACAGGGTAGCTCAGAACTGTGAATCGTTTCTTGAGGACACCAAAGGCTCTTTCAATCACGTTTCTGAGCGACGAGTGCCGGAGGTTGAAGAGCTCTTCCTTCGTGCGCACCTTCATCTTTCCACGGCCAAACTCTTTCAAATGGTACCGGGTTCCACGGTATGGCGTCAACGCTTTCACAGTCAAGCCAAAACCAGCGTCCAAGATGTCAAAAAGATTTGGCGACAAGGCAAGGCCTTTTGTCAACGCATCTTCATACAAACGACCGTCACCAGCCGATCCCTCCCAGCCGGAGAGAACATAGGTGAACATCATGTCGAAGTCACAGGCGCACAAAACATTCATCGTGACGCCCTTTCTGCCTTGAAATGGCGCAACATGCTTCTCAGGAACCCATACAGGAACGTGGCAACCATCAATAGCCATACGGCAGTTGTCGAAAAAGGGGCTAAACTTGGGATTGTCGGAGATGGTACGAGGAATCCGTGAGTCGTTGGCAGGTATCTGGATATACGTCGGTACCAAACGCAATAAGGCAGCGAGAACTCGTTTCAAGTGACGAGTGATGGTTTCACCTGAGTGCTGAAATCGACACTGCAATCGACTGCTCGAAGCATGATGGCCCACAAGGTACAAGAATATCGCAAGCTGCTCTTCTTCCTTGACGAGTCTTGTTCCCTTGAGACCACCATACTCGACGAGTTCACGAACAAGCCTCTTGAAAACCGCTTTGCGCATTCGAAAGCTTTCAAGAAAGCTTGCTTCGTTTCCTTCCAACATTTCGGCGACCCACATGCGCCCGGTGAGCTTGGACGTTCTTTTGGGGGTCTTGTTGACGTGCTTCGTGAAATGATACAGCATTTGGTTCACCATGAGCATGCTCGCGGCACCATGCAACCATTGCTGCGCCAGCGATGCCATCAAGAGGCGATGCTTCATCCTTTCACCAGATCGCGCAACGTGCTTTCTGTTGGAAGGAAATGGGGAAAGTGTTGCTTTAAGTGCGACTTACCGTCCTCGGAAGAAATGATTCATTTCTGTTGCGTCCCTCATCCGCAATTCGCTCTCAATGCTCCTCATCGAACCACCAATAGATTGCCCTTGGTCAGGCCTACAACGCTGATGTTCGGACTTTCTTTTGTTCATGCCATGGCCATCGTGTGAGTGCCCATGTAGTGCCCTTCCGGAAATTTCATTTTTTTTCACTTTTTTCAAAAAAACACACTTTTGTGAATTTTCCAAATTTTTCAGTTGTCTGCACTTTTGAAATGTGCAATTTTATAATTTTCTGAATTATGAATTATTATGTTTGTGGCATCCAGACGAACCCTTAAGATATTCCAACACTATACTTGTACTCCGGAGAAGTATTTAAGTGGATTCAATGTGCACAGGTTTCTACTAGTAGCAGGTTTATAGCAGTGCCGAATTTACAGAACAAAATTTATAATATTTCGTCGAATATTTCTTGCCGGATATTCTGCATTCCCCCCATTTCTGAAATATAAGTATTCCAGTTCCAATATTCAAAACCGACACTACAACGAATAACGGCAAAGTCAGCCCATGGAGAACTGGGGCACGGCTCGACGAGGATACGCGGCACAACGAGGTGGTCTCCAGCGCATCTGCGACTGACAGCACGAGCAGGGAAGTCGATATTGTGGTAAGCTCCCTCTACCTCGTCCAGTAACGCCTCGGATAACCAGAAGGAGCCCCGTGTAACGAAGTAACGGCCGCCCGCAGTGTGTCATGTTTGGTGGGCTGGCCCGACTTCGCGGAGGAGGGCCTGGCGCGCCAGGCCCGCATGGATTTGGTGACTGCTACCACTTGGTTGTGATGCGTGAACATAGTCTGCACATCTTTCAGTGCACGCGACGGCGGTGTCGTTGCTATCCGAGTAGCATTCTCCAGGCGTCGACTGGACCTACGAATCGTAGCCCTCCATGTACTCTCCATCATCCCCTCCCATCGCCCCACCACCTGGACTTTGAGCCTTGGCAGCAGCTACCACTCGACACGCTGACGAACGTGTGGTTACCCTACCAGACGCATGGCCAAGCCGTTGCCACACGACGCAGCGACGTGATCTTGCGGTGGGCAGACACAGAGACGGGCTGGTTGAGCTTCAGCCACAATCAAGCGCGTGGAGAATTCCTCGACTACATCCAGCGACTTTACGGCCACACTCTCGTGATTGACCACCTGGACTTGGATGAGCCATCCAACCTGCCTGCAGACAACACGACAGTTCTTGATCGAAACTGGTCATTGTACGAAATCCCATCACGCATGTCCTGTCTGTTAAGTCGGCATCATTTGTAGTTTGACGAACAACGGCGGCGGTGACGAGCCCAAGCCGACGATGTGTCCACAGCCCCCTCCTGCACCAGTCCCAACAAAGACAGAAGCACATCTTGATCCTGCTCCCGGGCTGGTATTTGGAGACCGGCACTCGAGCGCGTATGAAGCCACCCTCTTGACCCTATATATGCAATTGCCAGAGTACAATGCCCTGCCAAGCCACAAAGTGACCGTGGCCGACGAGGGGCTAGCAGTGGCCTTGCTTGCTCAAGTCATGCACGGAATATCGTTGGCCCTGGAAGGCAATACGTTCGGGATGCCGTTGTTGACGATGGTCGTGGAGGGAGCAATCTGTTTAGATCGGATCGACCTCCATGCGCTTTGTCTCGTCGGTGTCGCGCTTGCCGAGTGCCGCGGCCAGCGATTTACAGCCGCCTTGGCCCACATCGAAACGTCCTATCGGTCGGTCGAATGCATTTCGAGCACGTTGCCAAGAGTCTGCGTAGGTTAAGCTGGGAAAGCGGGCACGACGTGGGCTGCTTCATTGCGAGTGTCGGCCAATATGACGTGCACTGTGCCCAAGCGGCGTGGGACTCGGCTTACGCGAGCTTGCGGCGCGCTCAAGTGTACGCCCCAGCCAAATACAAACCCATGGTACACTCCAAAGTGCAAGCGCTGCATGTACGTTCCATATGTACCCAAAACTTGTCAGATCGAGGGATCGACGTGAGCTACGCCATGACAACGTTCTCAAGGAATTCACTCCATATGCATGGCATGTAGAGCCGCATGCAAGGCAAAGATGCGCCTCCTTCCGAGGCGATCCACGGCTGGCGCCGAGTGCTATCCCCACGGCGAAGCTCTGACGACTTGATCGCGTCCAGTTTGAAACCTCCCCATTCGTACTTCACCACAGCCCTCTTGGACGAAGTGCCTGTGGCGGACTTGATGTTTCCCTCGTCGTCCTCCACGTCTGTGCTCGTCAAAGGCAAGTCGATCGAACCAACCTCTGCGGTGTGCGCCATGATGCTGACACGTGGCATGTCTAGTGAGCCCCCACCGCCAATATCGCATGGCGTACGAGCCACAGTGGACGGTGCATGACTTTTTGAGCCACCTTGTGGCACGCCACGAGCATACTGTCCAGCAAAAGAGCCACCACTTGCCGCAGCCTCCGTCTGCAAGTCACAATTCGTGCATAGTTGGGCTGGTTTTTGACGTGCCCTCGCACCACCACTCGGACGACCAAGTGCTCGGGCTGCGGCAACCCTTTGCGGCGGTCTTGGCAGCAAGTCCCAGTTCCAATCGATTCCGAGCGATTCTAGCTGATCGTCCTGTGATGCCAGCCGTACGTTGACCCCTCGATGCGTAGGTCGGCACCAATTACCTCCTTTGAAACGTGTAGGTGGCGAGTGGAGTCACAGTCGCGTGCACGCTTTGCCAGCGCCAGATCCCCCTCGAGCAAGTCGAGACGCATTCGCACGAGTGCTATTAAGTGCAGCAGCTGCAGTTCACGGCTTCGAGTGGGCGACCAGCTTTGGCCACGGCATAACCACATGAAAAGAATCAACTTATCGTGGGTTTTTCTTGAATATGTCACTGGAACGTCAACGGCACGACGGACAAGTCCCGCAAGTTCACCAGGACGACCACACCCGTGTGGACAAAGGACGGGACGGCAATCACGCGAGTCACTTGACCACCTTCGCCTAGTTTTTGAGACCACGGCATGGTGAGCGCAATCATGCAAATCCTTCGATCTTGTTTACCCTGCACGACCGACGATTGAAACGATGGCTGGTTGCCGGCGAACAGGACATGCGGCATGTCGTCCACTACAAACAAGTCTTCGAGTGGCATGGGGTAACACGCCAAAATGTCAGGCGCGGTTGGAGCCAAGTGCCGCCACTTGACGATGGCTTCGAGCCTCTGGAGAGGTGAAAGGCCCGTGCAGCACTGCCCAATCGAGTCGACATTCTGTCCAGACGTGCCCACGAAGCGCACGCTGTCCATCTGAAGCTGCATCGGATTTGGTAGCATGTGGCACGCCGTCGTTTGCATCGTTTGGCGAAACAAACACGGGGCGAGTGGTTGCTGTGGCAGAGTAAAATTGCTACGAGTAGTTGTCCGATATGAAGGTCGACATCGTACAAGTTCGTCGCACCTGGGATCGAAGGCGCCAGGCATGATGTCAACGGGCATCGTGGACGTCAACGTCGACAGAAGGGCATCAATGTGCTCGAGGGGTTGCGCCAACGCCGCCACGGACGCTTTCTACGAACCGACCAACATGAGCAATCCAGCGATGGTTGCACGCCGCCGTGGCATGGCTACCACGGCGTTCAAAGAGATGGATGCAAGACAACACGAACTCGTCCATTCCATCGCAATGGAGGCATGGAAAAAGCTTCGCAGACTGGCGGGAAGCCACTGGGTAAATCGAAAACCACAACCAACATGGAAAATTGTTGCTCCAACTCTGGCGATCCAAATTGTTCAAGAGAATATGGCACAACATGCAATCATGAGAGCGACGAACCGGCAGGGTGTGAGTGTCCTTGGCGGGTTTCGAGATTGTGTTGCCGGCGACGATGCATCGCACTATGGACGAGACGAATATTTTTTCGTCGCGAGTGCCCACGCGACCTGCGAGGTAATCGACAAGGAGCGACGTCTTGGCTGGATCGCACGCGTCACTGCCCATTTCGAGCCCAGAGACCAGCGCCACGTAAGCATCGTCGGTACCTACAAACGTAGCCACCATGATGATACCTTGACATGGTGGGGATGGTCTGGTGTACGTACGATTTGGAAGCGGGAGCTGCGGCGGCAAAGTTGGAGTGAACACGTGCATGACATGGAATCCATCGCCGTCCTCGCGCATTTCGCCTTGGAGGCCGACGACAACACCAGTCACTAGCTCTTCCATTCGAATGTTCCCAAATAGTGCCACCCGACCGCTCTCATCTTCGAGCAGCAGTTGATCGGCGTCGGATGCCAAACACGTCGACTCTTCCTGCAACACAAGTACCTCGTCCACCACAAACTCATCGAGAATGTTCGGTTTCTTTGCGAGAACCCTGAAAATGGTCCCGATGACGACGCACTGATCGCCAGCGCTCAGGTCGATGATCTTTGGCAAAATCGGGACATGTGCGGACGACTGTGGAATGTTGGCGCGAACTTGCGGCTCCAGCGCTCGTAGACGACTGACGTACATGTGCGAGTACTGCTGGTCGAACGACTTCTTCTTGAGAACGAAGCGCTGATGCTCGTATTCACAGGACGCTGTCTTGCGCGGCACCGGGAAGGACACGTCGTCTTGGCCCATCGTGTTGCAACTTTGGCGGCAAAATGGGAACTCCATTTCTCACACTATTTCTTGAAGACCTTAATAGTGTAATATACAATTTTCACCAATTAAACGCGCATTAAATCAGTCATTTTGACCAACGAAACATTCCAAGTATACATTATAACCAATCAAATTGCATCCTTCCAATTTTTATTCCCTGGAGTCTTGTATCCACCTTGTATGATATTGTTAGTCTTGTATTCAAGCCATCTCATGCGCTCGCATGAAACCAGCGTTTCCAAGGGGCTGCGATCCAAAGTCACCCCATCAAGAGGTATTGAGAAAGCTTCGTGCTGTCTCGGTAGGCTATTTTCGATCTTCAGTCCAAAGGAATTGCAGAGCGAACCGAGGAAAACTCGTCCTAGCATGCAATTTGACTTGCGATTGTGAAATGAATTAAGTCACATGCCCATGAACGCCGGCCGTCGTTGAGCTTGCCCTTGTACAAGATTGTGCCAACGTTAACACGGCCGTAGCTAGAGCGGTTGATGGACCACGCATTGTCTTGCCCCACCCCCGCAGTTTGTCCTCGTGACCTGCTTGGTTGAGTATGTCTTGGTACCTGCGGGGGAGGGGCAAGACGATTCTGTGGCCCAACAAATGCTTGGTCCATGGCCGTGGCATGTGTCAAAATGTTAGCACACACACAACCTCATTCGACTTCGGCGAGTCGACCACATCGTCTCTTCAGCCACTTATCGATATGGTGGCTAACCAAGTCGGCATAATGTAAGTCCTTACAACTGGAATAAGCGAAAAGGACGAGAGTGGGCGGCGAGGTTTCCTTCATTGACAGAGGTCTTTCAAATGTCTAGAATGGTGCGAATCTCCAGGGGAGTGTGCACTAGAGTGGCTGGGGGGTACGCCGGACTGGCTGACACAAATGTGTGGATAGAATCGTACGCACTGCACAGCGCGTGTGCTGTGTGGGTCTCTGCCAAGTTGCGCCACTCTGGAGCACCAATGCGGTCGAGTACTGGTAGGTGCAGCGCCATGAGTTGGGTGCAGAAGAGATGCACTGCTAGTCGGACTGCGTTCGGTTCCAATTCACTCTGCCATCAAGCATCGATGTCAGCGTTGCACCTAGGTGCAGTACAGAACACCAAACCTGACTCGACGAAGTGTTCGGCGCATCTGGTTGACTTTGTGACACCGCCAACAGCAAGGCGACTCCACTCCGCTGGATAACTCCATCGGCCTACATGCACGCATCACCATCATGACTCGAGAAGGAAGACGCACCTGCGCTTGAGCCACTGCCTCAACTGTCGATGCCATGGCAGCATGAATTCTATCTTGCCACGGTCGCGTCACGTCAACACGTCCGAGGGTTGCCTACGTGGAATTCAACAATCCACCAGTGCAAGATTTTTGGCTCACATGGAGACACGCGAGCTGATTCAGCACAAACACGTTCATTTCACTTGGAGGCAGCGCGCCACCCGACGTCAGCGGAATCAGCACTGCTTGGACGACAGGATCGAGCACTTTGGCGAGTTCTGTAGCCTCGATGCCGTGAGGCCGGAGCGAATTCACGTACGTGTCGATGAGGTGGCCCTGCGGGGACATGGCAGCCACGTGATTTGCCACAGTAGAAATGTAGAGACCATGGGACAAACTTACAACTTTGTGCGCAATCTCCAGCGTTGGATGTGCCGCCGACAGACTGAAGTCCAAAGAGTCCTTCAAAGCTGCTTGGTACTGGTCGAGTTGGGACTGCCATTGAGAAGAAAAGTGCGTCTCGGCCACGTGATGCGCTCTACTCCATTTCGTTAGCCAGGCGCAAGATAAAACTCTGGTGGCGGTAAGCCATACTCGACTAAATACACGACAAGCTCCGATTCGAGCGGCACCATCGACGATACAATCGCACGGTAGTACGCCAATACGTGGACGACGGCATAGAGTTGGAGAATTGTGGTTGTGGGGCCTTGGACTACTTGATGAAGCCGAACCTGCGCCACCATTTACCGCTCATATTTCGCATCGGGTCGTCAAGTTGATTGACGCTACATACCTGCAGCGGCCGACTAAGGGCAGCACATACGTTTCCAAGTACGTCGCGGACTTGGTCACCGTCGAACATGCGCTATCCAGTACGCCACATAATCCTCTCTCACGTGATAATTCATCATGGCGGTGGCGGGTTGATATCGGTGCACCACTCGAGTATGCACCTACTTACCTTGACAAACTCTGCCTCGCCAACGAGGGTCTGGTGCACCCACGCGAGCATTTCTCCAGAGTACCGAACGGGGTCATGAGCGTGAATTTCGATCGGCCGTGGAATGCCGCTGGGCCCACCGATTGTTAATGCCTTCACAAAGCGGCGCAGGAGTCCGTTGCGCCGACTTTGCGTCCATGCGTCGACGCAATACCTACACGAAATCGTGTCACGAGTTGTCCTAGCGGCTGCAGCTAGACTGCTACGTACGAGTAAAATGCAGCATGGCCACGAAGGAATCGCAAAGCCTGGGGCAGGAGGCGAGTTGTGCTTCTATCAGAGTTTGATGTATCAACCATGGCACCGACGGAGACAAGGTCATCGTCGCTTGGGTCGGCCGCGTCGGCATTGCAAAGGACGCTAGCCCACGCGTACAACTTCTCAAAGGCCAACGTTTGAGCACGGCAAATGTCCTCCAAGTACTCCAAACTCGACGGAGCTGGATTGTCGGCCACAAGGCGCTCACAGTTCAATCGAATCGCTTGCAATCGGTGCAACAGCTGGAAGTACGACGCCATGGCAGTGTCCGTCGCATGCGTCTCGGCCAGTGGCGCCGCCTGCTCAACGAGTTTAAGATCGTCCAGCGACACTTGGTACTTTTGCAAAAAGTCCTTGGTCGAATCAAGTTCCAATTGAATCGCATCGTGTTCTGCTCTACGATGTTGCGTCTGTGCAATGGTAGCTCATTGATGAGGACGCACCTCAGTTCGGCAGCTTGGGTGACAAATAGCGTCGAGGTGCGGTCAGTGGAATCGAGGAACGCCATGATGTGCCGGCATTTTCGATCCATAATATCAGCTTGCTTCTTCAATGCATCCATGGACGACAAAAGCCGTTCTGTCTCGCGCAATACCGCCTCCGCCGCGTCCAAACTTGCAACATCCAAACTCGGCTTGAGCAACACGCGCAGCTCTGCCGACGACGTGGATGTGATGTCGTTGGGAAGGAGTTCCGAAAGCGAGTCAAGTAAAGACTTTGCTTGCGTCAGCTCGGACGAGCTGGATAAGAGCTTCTTGACGCGATGCTGCAGCAACAAAGCCATCGCTTCTTCGCCTACGTCGGTGTTGTGCTTGAAATTGCCTACAGTAAATGTCTTGCTTGTACTATTAGGGATTCAGCACTTGACTCTAGTAATACTAGTACATATACAAGTAATACTATTAGTAGCTGTAATAGTTACTATAATACGCAGTACAGTCCGCGAAATAATTATATGCGCACATTCAAATCTTCAATATATCGCGAATAATGTCGGATAAAAAATACACAAAGACTTCGGAGATTGTTTCCCATGAA